CCTACTAGATAAATGTGGGGGAATACCAGACTGTTTACCTTTTTAGTAATAAATAATTAATCAGACTAAAGTTAGGATAATATAATTGACATTGCTGGATTCCTTGTAAGACCAGGAATATTTTGAATATAAAAATCATATATTTTGCACAAAAGATAACATATTTACTCAAGAGTAAACATTATATCTAAAATTTGTATGTCTAATGCAAAATCTATGATGTTTATATTCAAAATGATCATCAAATTGTAAGAATTCCAGCAATGTAAATTATATTCTGGCCGGATAATTTGTATGAATTTTATGAGCTAAATTAAACAAAATTATACTTCACCCGTGTAAAGGGGTACACCCACCGCGGAATGTGAGCATCCTGGGTTCTGGCAGGGCACCGCGTAAACGTGGAAACGCGGAATGTGGGACCGCGTAAAGTGAGGGTTGACTGTAATATAATTGACATTGCTGGATTTCTTGTAAGACCAGGAATATTTTGAATATAAATGTCATATATTTTGCACAAAAGATAACATATTTACTCAGAGTAATCATTATATCTAAAATTTGTATGTCTAATGCAAAATATATGATGTTTATACAGTATACAAAATGATCACCAAATTGTAAGAATTCCAGCAATGTAAATTATATTCTGGCCGGGTAATTTGTATGAATTTTATGAGCTAAAACAAATATCTTCAGTTAATAAAAAAAAAATATTCTTCACCACACTAATGTCAATCAAAGTACCCCACCTTGCCTCCCCCCACTTCCAACCGCGCGGTCAGTCCCAACCCTCCCCCCACCCCCCACCAATCCTCCCTTCAAGAGAAAGGTTGGGTGAAAAACTAAATTTTAACATTTTGTATTAAATAATACCTCAGATTAAAGTTAGGATAATATAATTGACATTGCTGGATTCCTTGTAAGACCAGGAATCTTTTGAATATAAATGTCATATATTTTGCACAAAAGATAACATATTTACTCAGAGTAAACATTACATCTAAAATTTGTATGTCTAATGCAAAATCTATGATGTTTATATTCAAAATGATCATCAAATTGTAAGAATTCCAGCAATGTAAATTATATTCTGACCGGGTAATTTGTATGAATTTTATGAGCTAAAACAAATATCTTCAGTTAATAAAAAAAAAAATATCCTTCACACGGTAACAGAACAGATGGTCGATCGGTCCCTCCCTCCCCCCCACCCCCCACCAACCCTCCCTACCAGATGTGTGGGAAAACCAGAATATTTACCTTTTTAGTAATAAATAATACCTCAAACTAAAGTTAGGATAATATAATTGACATTGTTGGATTCCTTGTAAGACCAGGAATATTTTGAATATAAATGTCATATATTTTGCACAAAAGATAACATATTTACTCAGAGTAAAAATTATATCTAAAATTTGTATGTCTAATGCAAAATCTATGATGTTTATATTCAAAATGATCATCATATTGTAAGAATTCCAGCAATGTAAATTATATTCTGGCCGGGTAATATTGGAAGCATAATGTGTTATCTAATGGTAGACCCCTGCTGCCATATGGCATCACAAAAATTGTGACCAAGTCCCAGGTTGCTGATCTGACTTTCTGCCTCATTTACACACAATTGCAGGGTCTCAATTGTTACTCTTACTATTAACAACACAACATACATACAGTATATTGTTTCTCACTATTGATATTTTTATTTTTTTGTTTTTGAATTTATTCATGGCTCTTTATTATTACAGGGGGTATTATTATTATCATTATTATTATTATTATTATTAGTTTTATTATTATTATTTTTTTTTTTTTTATTATAATTGTTATTTTGTTAAATATGTTTATATTAATTTTATTACTAGTATTATTGTTATTACCATTATCATCATCATTGGCATAATTATTATTATTATTATTGTTTTATTATATTTTCGCCCCCTGGGCCTTGATGTGGTTCATTAAAAATGTCCCGTGCCCGGGTGGGCTAATTCCCTTAAAGAAAGAATAAAGAAAGTATGAATATCAGCATAAGCCCAGTCGAACACAAAACTTTCACAGATTAGGCTGGGTATTGGGGTGATTGCAATAGGTCGTAGCTGATTTAAGGATTGTGGGCTGGTTGACTTGGGCACTGGTGATACATAAGAGGTCTTCCAGTCAGCTGGGCATCTGGCTTGACTGAGAGAAGCATTGATGATGGAGCAGAGGGGTTTAGCAAGCTCCGGGGAGAACTCCTTGAAGAGTTTCATTGGTAAGTCAATGGGGTGGTAGAGCGTTTTAATTTTTAGTTTGTCCAGGCGTTTTGCTACGTCAAATTCTTCTACTAAGTCAGTGGGAAGGGGGGCTGGTAGGTAAGCAGGGAGAGTGGTTGTGTCAAGCCGTGGGAGCGTCTGGCATATAGTAGCGAAATGGTTATTTGTTTGCTCAGCTGCGTCAACATTAGTGAGATGGCTAAGGAAGGGGAGGGGGTGTGTCTTGTTGTTTAGTCCACAGAGTTCTTTAAGCTTACCATACCATTGACTGATGTTGGTCTGCTTCAGGTGTTGTAATTTGGTTGGGTAGTGGGACTTTTTTGCAGTGCGTATTTCGCGGATGACTCGGTTGCGAAGTGACCTGTAGCGGATGTGGTCATTGAGATGAAAGGCTCTGTCTCTCTGTTGCATAAGTCTTTTGATCCGAGGTGTGATCCAGGGCAAGTCAGCTGGGTGAGATCTGACGGACTTCTCGGGGAAGAAGTGGTGGTGAGCTTCCGTGGTGGTGTTGGTATAATTTATCCATTTGGTTTCCACGTCATCCACGCTAAGTACTTCAGTCCAGGGATGGTGAACTATCCACTGCCCGAAGAGGCGCACTGCAGAGTCAGTAATCGGCCTGTAGGTCTTGATGTAGGGTCTCTGTACTTGAGTGGGAGTGGCAGCTGGGGACCAGAGCACTGATAAGTGTGTGCTACACCCGATAGGAGGCATTGGTTGAGGTGGTTGGTACTGGTCCGCTAAGTCAGTTAAGATAAGGTCAAGGGTATTTTGACCGTGTGTGGGGAAGGTCACAACTTGTGATAGTGATAAATTTTATGAGCTAAAACAGGCAGGCAGGCAGTCAGGCAGGGTGGCGGGTGGGGCGAATCTAAAAATAGCGTCTCGAGCCAGACACTGGGCATGGAAAAAACCCGCGTAAGTAAGATATATATATATATATATATATATATATATATATATATATATATATATATATATATATATATATATATATATATATATATATATATATATATATATATATATATATATATATATACATATAAAATTAGCCTATACAAATAGCCTGGAGATAGGCACTGACTTAATTAGCCTCAGGCTCTAAACCTTTAATTGTATTCTGATTATAAGTTATTCTCAAGATGGCAATCAGGAAAAAACACAAATAGAAAAATTGCAATTTATCTACCCATTTATTTCCATTCATGAAGTAAAAAACGAAATTTTTCCTATAGAAAATTTCCCTAAATTGGATCCAGTAAAATTATCGTCTTGGTCATCCACCTATTTGGAAGTAGGTCAGAATCGGGTAATTATGGATGACTGACCCACGGCCGATTTTTCATAGAAAATTATAATAAAAATGCCGCAATTTCTCTGTGTTTTATAGTGGACACTGTCATAGTTTGTGCAAATGTGTTAAACAGTAGTTATTTCTAAATTAAACCTAACCTAACCTTAGTTGATATGAAAAACAAGCAGCAGAAGCACTGTAGAAAACCTTACCAAACAAACCTACCTCACCTTACCTAACTTCCGAGCCAAGGGGCTCTGCTCCCCGGACTCCCGGTATATTAAACAGAAAGAACTTATTATGATATGGAATAATTTTACACTTTTTGCGGACGTGAGAGCAGCCATCCGCACCGAACGGTTCTGAAGCATGCACTGAGCATCAACGTTGATCAAGCCCAGGCGGAGGCGTGTTTTGAGATACATCAATTTGATTGGCCGTTTCCATCCTGGGATGAGACGTCACCACCTTATTACCGCCGAGAAGACAAAGTAGTGCATGCATAGGCGCCTAATTATCTACCAAACGGAGCATTTGCACAAGAAATGATTATCATATCAAGAGCTCACTGATGATAATGAAGTAAGAAAATAAACAGTAAAACAAATAACTCGTCCCCAGGTCATTCGGCAAGATTGCCCCAGAATTAATCAAAACACTTGGTTTTTTATTCAAAAACCATGGGAAAAATATAATTTAAACCTAACCTAACCTAAACCTCTCTCGGACAGTGGTAACTTAAAATCCTAAAATTCACTGGGTGACCAAAACGATAATACCGTGGAATCCCTCCCATGAAATGAAAGTCTAAGGTATTACAAACTTTTGTGCTCAGTTGACAATATATACCATCGTTATGTGCCGACCCCCTGCACCCCCTCCAATTTAAGACTCAATAGCTCAATCAACTAAAACGAATCAATCATTTAAGTAAGCAATCTAGAATATCGTTTTGTGTCTTAAAAATATAACAATTACTTAAAAAAACAAGTTTTTGAAAACCTGAGTTGCCAAATTGAGACCAAAAGGAAAGACATCCTGTTTGGTAGGAATCTACAGTAGTATCTCAGTATTTTGCAATAATTGAGGACAAGCTTATGCAGCACAGGGGAATGAAATTTGTGAAATAGTGACAGTATCGTTTCGTCAAACCTACACCAAGGTCCAGATAATAATAAATATAAAACACTAATACTGTACATGAAATGTTTTGCCCAGTTAAAATTTCCAATACAATTGACCATAATATTACATCATCACAACTCTTAAGGGTTTTGATCTAGAATGCGTAAAGGCCTTGAAGTTAAAGAAACAAGACAAAAAAACTCTACATGATAAATTATATACGAAATACACAAAGCCGTGACAATCCAGTTTATTCATAATATTTTTGTGATATACCCTAATGATGAAATAGTATAATTATATTATTAGTCATTAATTACCCTTTCGATGTATAACGAAAACAGCAAATGTTGAAACCCGGTGAGAATGACACAAATCAGCTGATAACTGGCCTGTGGACACTTGTAATCCCGTATCTGTTCTCACTTACGCTATTGCTTATCGCACTACCTGTACACTGTCACCACCTTTCCTCCTGATACCCGAAAACTTACTATACACCGTAAAACAAATAATAATGACAGTCTTCAGGAGTTAATTTTCGTGTAAATACTGACATACTCCTGAATAATACAGGTAAATAGAGTAACATATTTGGAACGTTTATTTCTAAGTGTCATACAGTGTACCGGGTATTTCTATTCTAGGAGATAAAGAGGTTGGAGGGTGCACTTCTGGCGGAGTCTCACGCTGTACTGATCTGGGAACACTGATTTCATTAAACTGCAGGCATGCCTGCTGGTTGTGACTGCGATACTGATTAGAAACTACTATACATTCTGGTTGTGTCCTGCAATGATTAGACAGAATTCATTTTAGAGGCAGCGAGAAGCTCATCTCAGCTTTTACTTTTTACTTTTATCCTCCTCACCACTGATCGGCTTGTTAGCCGCTTGGGCTATCGGTCATGTCTCTGTTATCACTTTTTACTTTTTACTTTTATCCTCTTCGCCACTGATCGGCTTGTTAGCCGCTTGGGCGATCGGTCACGAATTATGAGAGACCACCACTCATGAAGGATATAACAAGAAGGGAAGAAGTCAACTTTCACCGACTGAGACTGGGATACCCATGCATTTGGGAAATAATTGTACAGGTATCAGCACCAGCAGTGCAGCGCATATGCAAGACCTGCGACAGCGGAGCAGAAAACACACTGCAGCACTACCTCATAAAGTGCCCTGGAACACAATTAGCTAGGAGAAACATACAGCCCCCTATCACAGCAGAGAAGGTTGCCAGAAAGCTTGTGGGGTACGTGATGTTTGGGTTCACACTCAGGATGGGATGGAGAAAGGAAACTCACAATATGCTGTCTGTATACATGTTGTATTGGGTGTACAATGCAGCTTGGTGCTCGGAAGGCAGCGTGGTTACAAACGTTGAGTAGAGAGAGCTGGTTGGTGAGGGTGCTCAGAGGAAGACTAGCTTGTGGGTCGCTATGCTCGCCGGCAGGAGCGAGGGCCGCCAGGCAGCGGCGGAGGAGGTGGTGTTGCTTGCTGCGGCTGTAGCTAGAAGAGATCGGTCACCACGAGGTCAGGTAGGCGTGGCTTAGTAGTTGACCTCCGTCATGTAAGGTGGCGCTGGTGACCTAGACCACGAGGCATACACTGGGGAATTCGCGGGGTAGGCTACTTAGCGACAAAAGCGTTTGTAGGGGAGGGATCCACTACATCACTCCCTCCAGGCGGTGTAGGAGACTTGTTGTCTGCAGGGTTGCATGGCACATGTGAGGCAGAACGGGCGGTGCATGCCACATGTGAGCCATAACAGCGAGGGCGTGGATGAGCCGGCCGCTAGAGGAGACAACTGTCTAGATACACAATATCTGTGGGAGTAGAGAGGGAGAAAAAGGGTGTGTGGAGGCGATGAATGTTGTGCTTCCCTCACGGCAAGTACAGAGTTGTCAGATGCGCCTGCTGGGGTGTGTGGGCCTGGGTCAGGAGCAGGGGCTGTGTCAGCAGAAGCGGATGAGGGCTCATGGCAGCAGCTGGGTCCACGACAGCAGCAGGGTGCAGGACAGTACAGGGGATACCTGAGGGAGAAAAGAGGGGTGTGTGGGTCCGCGTCAGGAGCAGGGGCCGCGGCAGGGGGTACTGCTGGGCCGGGGCGGCGTCTGAGGCAGGACGGGTGTGTTGGGGTCGGTAGGACGTGGTGCTTGGGGCAGGAAGAGGAACGGCTCTCTGCTTAGAGTAGCAGAGCTGCTCTAGGGTGTCTAACCTGCGGTGTAGAGACAGTAGCTGTAGAGCCGATGAGAGCTGCCTCTGTGTTGATAAGCCAGTCTTGAGTCTTCCATGTTTCTTGAAGACTGGGAGAGTGATTGGTTTCTCCTCCATCCTGTGTGAGTGCGAATCTCCGGGGGTCACCATTTGTGGGGTACGTGATGTTTGGGTTCACACTCAGGATGGGATGGAGAAAGGAAACTCACAATGTGCTCTCTGTATACATGTTGTATTGGATGTACAATGCAGCTTGGTGCTGGGAAGTGGCAGCGTGGTTACAAGCGTGATGTAGAGAGAGCTGGTTGGGGAGGGTGCTCAGAGGAGGACCAGCTTGTGGGTCGCCATACTCGCCGGCGGGAGCGAGGGCCGCCAGGCAGCGGCGGAGGAGGTGGTGTAGCTTGCTGCGGCTGTAGCTAGAAGGAGGGAGCGGTCACCACGAGGTCAGGTCTTAAATAGCGGGGGTAGGCGTGGCTTAGTAGTTGACCTCCGTCATGTAAGGCGGCGCAGGTTGACCTAGACCACGAGGCATACACTGGGGAATTCGCGGGGTCAGCTACTCAGCGACAAAAGCGTTTGTAGGGGAGGGATCCACTACACTGTCACCTCGTCTGTTCAAAGGAGGGCCACCAGACTGGTGCCTGCACTTCGGCACCTCAACTACCCTGAGAGATTGGAGCGCTTGAACTTGCCTAGCTTATACTACAGACGGGCAAGGGGTGACCTAATTTAGGTGTATAAGCATCTCAAGGGGCACTACTCACGTGTGGCTGCCTTGGCTGCTTTGTCTGCCATGTCATTTCCCCCGATCCCTACATGACTGGGAATCCAGTGTAAGACGACTCGGCGATTTTGTCTTTGGAAGTCCTGTAGCTGTGCGAGGATCGAGGTTATGATGTGGACGTTGTCTCTTGGTTGACTGTTGTAGCGCCTGCATGGTCGTTTTAGAGTCCGTGTGAATTATGATGGACTTGTTGTGTTTTGTTGCAGCGTGTTGTAGGGCCTTTGAGATTGCTACCACCTCTGTTTGTAGGGTGGAGCAGTCATTATAAAGTCTCCATCGGAGGGTCTGACCTTGGGTGTAGAAGGCCGCTCCGGATCTTTGATGTTTTGGGTCCACCGAGCCGTCTGTGAAGTATGATGCTGCATCAGTCGGTGTCTCTTTTTACTTTTTACTTTTATCCTCTTCGCCACTGATCGGCTTGTTAGCCGCTTGGGCGATCGGTCACGATCGGTCACGTCTCTTTTCCTTTATATTCTTCACCAAAAGGTCGGCTCGCTAGCCGCCCGGGCGATCGGTCACGTCTCTGTCACGCACTGTTGGCAAATACTGGGCATGCACCGGCTCCTGAATGTACCTGAACCCGCTCCAGTGTTGGTCAAGTCTTCTCTTGAAAGAGCTCACACTCGGTGCCGTCACAACACTCTCTGGTAGATTGTTCCAAGAGTTTACAACCCTCACTCCGAAAAAGTTTGCCCTCACGGTTTTCTGGACTTGCGGCTTCTTCAATCTTGAGCTGTGACCCCTTGTGGGGCGAGCGTCCGCCAGCTCCAAGTAAGGACACTCAACTGAGTAGTGCCCCCTGAGATGCTTATAAACCTCAACTAGGTCCCCCCTTGCCCGTCTGTAGTATAAGCTAGGCAAGTTCAGGCGCTCCAATCTCTCAGGGTAGCTGAGGTGCCGAAGTGCAGGCACCAGTTTGGTGGCCCTCCTTTGAACATTTTCAACCAACTGACAGTCCCTAGCATATCTCGGGGACCAGATGGGGTGACAGTACTCCAGATGGGGAAGCACTTCACTCCTGAAGATCGTCACGAGGGACGGACCGTCTAGATATCTGAACGACCTTCTTATAAGACCCAATAATTTATTTGCCTGATTTACCTTCTTCTCACAATGGCCCGAGAACTTCAGCTCATTGTCAACATACACACCTAGGTCCTTCTCACACACAGTCTCAACTAGTACATTTTCTTCATCCCGTTGGGACATATGGTACGCCTCCTTACCGTTGGTACGCCCCAGGTGCATCCTCTTACACTTCGTGACATTGAATCTCAGCAGCCATTCCTTCGACCATTCCTGGAGCCCACAGAGGTCCTTCTGCAGCTCTTCACAGTCCGCTTGGTTCTTAATTTCCCGAAATAACTTGCCATCATCGGCAAACATTTGTATGGAGGAGTGTACAACGTCAGGCATATCATTTATGAAACAAACAAACAACAGCGGGCCCAATACACTACCCTGCGGTACCCCACTTGTTACAGGTACAGATGACGATTTCGTGCCATTAATCACCACACATTGCTTGCGGTCATGTAGAAAGTCTTCTATCCACGCTAGGACATTTCCCCGAATTCCGTACCCTTCCAGTTTGATTTTCAGCCTTTCGTGGGGTACACTGTCGAAAGCCTTGGCAAAATCTAGGTAAATATTGTCGATATTACCACCCCGTTCTAGAATATGGGTCCAAATATCCAATACCTTGAGCAATTGTGTCAAGCAAGAGCGCCCCGGCATAAAACCGTGTTGGCAATCTTTTACAAGGTTGTTTCGTAGTAGATGTTCCATCGCTGCATCTCTGATAATACTCTCAAGTACTTTACATATTATGCTGGTCAGGCTCACCGGTCTATAGTTGTTCGTGGAGTGACTATCGCCCTTCTTGAAGATAGGACTCACATAAGCCACTTTCCATTCACTGGGGACCATTTGTTCATCCAGGCATTTACAAAACAGAATCTTCAGGGGCTCTGCAAGCTCGTTGCACAGCTCCCTTAGCACTCTAGGATGCACCATGTCAGGTCCAGGACTCTTATGGACCTTTAGCCTGGACAGTTTATTTCTAATACCCTCTTCTGTGAACACAATGTGGGTCAGTGCTGTGTCGAACCGTCTGTCCTCAAACGCAGGAAGGTTAGTTGCATCCTCTCTTGTGAACACTGAGGAAAAGAAGCTGTTCAATGCCTCAGCTTTATCCTGGTCAGAATCTGCGTAACTACCATCTTCAAGCCTCAGGTCTGATACTCCTACTCGCGTTTTCAATTTCGACTTTGCATAGCGGTAAAACGCCTTTGGGTTTGACTTGACCTCGCGTGCAACCAGCCTTTGGAACTCCTTTTCAGCCCTCCTACACTCTATCTTTGCTTGGTTTCTGGCTCTTGCATACATCCTCCTGTCTTGCTCATCGTTTGACCCAACCCACGTCTTGAATTTCTGGGTTTTCTTCTTAATTTTGTCGACCGCCGCATGGTTCATGTGTA